AAAGGTCAAGGGATAGTGAAGAGGGCCCCCCAGAGACTCCTCAGGAATATACGCAGCATGTGGCTTATATGCTTCACAGATATTCAAGTTCAAATATCCTGAATTTCAACAATAACTTGCCAAGGATAAAAAGAAGAGGCCTGTCTTCTCAGAAACAAGGAATTTACAGACAAAGGCCCACGTGGGCTGAGGAAGGAAAGAGGAAATCAGAAGACAAGTGTGGGCAGGGAAGTGGTCACGTCCAGGCAGAGGAGGTGGCGTGAGGGAGGGAAGGCCAAGGGACCTGCCTCTCATGGCAGAGAGATTGTGGTGAATCTCAGAGGCACAGCATGGAGCAAGAGAAGTCACACACAGAGGACATCTGGTGAGCTGCCATCGATGTCAGCTTCAGGAGCTGCCAAAACTCATTTACTAAAAGAAAAAGCAGGAGTGGGGTCAGAAATCTGAGACAGGCCTGAGGGAGGCTTCTAGGGGGCAGGATGCTACACATCTTGCCCTGGGTGGCGGCCACACAGGTGCGCACTTCTGCGAATCTGTGGAGCTCCACCTAAGATGCTTCCCCGTGTGGAAGCCCGGCCTCAGCACCTGCCTGAGACTTGCTGTCACTTCTCAAATGCACATTTAGTGAGGGTGCCTCCCCCACTGTGTGCCACCTTCCTGCTGGACCCTGGGGACAGTCTCCATCCCTGCCCTGACTCTGCACCAGTAATGTAAAGCTGGATGCTCAGAAAGCTCCAGCCAGGGTGGCTTCAGGAGGCAGGTGGAGACTGGGGGCCTGGGAAAAGTGAGCAGGGGGCGGAGCTCTGCGGAGGGTGGGGTAGGGGGTGATGTGCTCCAGGCAGAAAGGACAGTTCGTTAAGGAGGTAGAGACCTGTGGGTGCTTCAAGCCAGGAACAGGGTGGGGAGGGAATGAAGGGAGCCCCGGCAAGGGGCAATCCGGCATCACGCCCCACTGATCTGGGGAGGGAGGGCATGTCAGGAGCAAGGCATTCAGCCTTCAGGTCTTGAGGCCTGGCACCACCAGGGGAGGATCACAGCATGCAGAAAGTCCCCAGACTGGAGCCCAGCAGTCATGGAAATCTTGGGTATGGGGTGCTCGTCCAGAGCCGAGGTCTCCTGTGTCTCCAGCTCCGGCCTCAGTGGAACACGATGTGCTTGGTGACTCAGTGCCTGACTGAGGCAGGGATGGACCCCAGGAGATTATTTGGTCAGGAGGCATTTCAGGCTGTGCAGTCCCTATACTCCTCTGGCCTCAGAGCTCTGGCGGGGGCTACTCTATATGCGTGTGGCTCTCAGAAGGCACGGTGCCGGGTTTAAGCTGCTGCTGTTGCTATAGTGAAATTCTTTTTTGTTGTTTATTTTCTGAGGGTAGGTATGTACAATTAGGCTACATCGTTTACATTTGTAAGGTAAAGTCTAAGTTGTACTTGTTCCCCTCACCCAGGAAGTGTCCAGACACCTGCTCCTTGTTCCCACTAGACCCCCGACCACCCAGTTTGGATTTAATTGAGTTTTTCTGTCATGTGAGCCTGTTGTTGTTAATCTATAAGTTTCGAGTATATGCGATGCTCGTTTTCCCATTCTTATGATACTTTACTTAGGAGAGTGTTCTCCAGATCCATCAAGTTGTAACAAATGATACAAAATCTCTGTCTTCCTTGTGGCTGAATAGCATTCCATGCTGTGTGCATAGGCCACAGTTTATTAATCTATCCGTGGGCTGAAGGGCAGTTGGGTGGTTTCCGCGTGTTTCTGATTGTAAATTGGGCTGTTATAAACATTCACGTGCACGTGACCTTATGGTAAAATGACTTTTTTCTTTTGGGTAGACGCATAGTGATGGAGTCACAGGAAGAAATGGGAGGTCTACTTTTAGTTCTCAATCGTTGTTGAACAAGGGACCCTGGCCTGGGCCCTGGGCAGCTCCACGTAGGGTGGGCTGAACCAGAACAGCCATAGGAGACTGGGGTTGGGACCCCCAGACATGCACATATCACCCCACCCCATCCCTGCTGGGGACAGCAAGGTGATCCAGTGTAGAGGACCCCAAGAGCCAGGTGACCTCTGAGCAAGATAATTTATAGCTGGGGGCTGGACCCTCTGGCCATTCGTCCACAGGTGTTCCTTGTGGAAGAAGAGCCCGAGCCTTCAGCACGTAGTCATTTGTTAATCACTCCCCTCACCTGTGTTGTACTGTCTCAATAAAGGGCCAGTGTGGAGGTTGCTTGGGGCATAGTGGTCAAGACCAGGGCCATAGGGGCCTGAGGGGTTGCAACAATCCAGGGTGGAGCTATGATGGTATCAGGGGAAGAACCCACAAAGGCCCAGAGCCTGCCAGGACTCAGCAACCCTTCTCCTCATGGCATCCCCAGCAGAGACACTCGCACCAGGGGTGTTTGCTGTTCACAGGCACCTTGGGCCCAAAGGTGTCGCAGAGTTGTAGGCAAGGGCTGGACTTTGGGAGCTTGGCCTGTTTCTTCCCCAGCCAGACCCACAGTGCTTTCTGCCACCATGGAAGGAGAAGCCACATGTACCAACCTCTTCACCCCAAGCGCAAGCTCCAGCACTGGAGCCGTGGCCGTCTGTCCCCCATCCTTCTCTATGCACACACACAGCTTCCTCCCTGGGCATGAGGGAACCCAGACCTTCTCTGGCAAAGTTTATTCCTCTTCTTCCTGGGCATGGGAAGTGGTCATGGCCTTGATGCTTCCTTGGGACCCCTGCCACAGCACCCTACCGCATTTGCCCCATCTTCCCCACAGTCTTTTAAAAAGGCAGGTCCCATCTTTTCACCCTCCTCCAGGGGCTTTCTTCTGCTCTTAGGAGAAAAAACAAACTTCTTCCAGAGCCACCAAATCCTTTGTAATCTGGCCCCTGTCAACCTCTCCAGCTTCAACGGATGCCCATGCTCAGCCATGGCCCCTTCCACTCTCTCAAAAGTCTCCTGCCCCAGGGCCTTTGCACCTACTCCTGCCTCTACCTTTCTGCCCATCCTGTTCCCAGACCAGGTGCCGCTCTCTCAGGGGGTCTTTCCCCTATATCGCCAGACTGGTCAGCTTGTGAGAGTCCTTTTATCCGGGGCTTATTTGCTCCAGGAGGTGTTTTCTCCACCATCAAATGTTGCACAGTACCTGGTGCACACATTCCTGCTGCTTGAGTAAATGGAGGGCCAGGGAGCTGTCACAGCCGTATCAAAGAGGGAGCAGCAAGGAGCTGAATTCCAAGGCTCTCCAAGGCCATTCTGTTGTATGACCCTGGACAAAACACTGCCCTCGTGGGACCCCAGCTTCTCTACCTGGGAAAACTAGCACTGGCTTGTGGGACAGCTCCCTCTGAGAGTGGACGTCTTAGGCACATTATTCTGTGCCCTTCCATTTGTGACAGACAAATCTAGACCCTCAGTGGGCCTCAGAGTGCCGAGGGTCAGGGAGACCCAGAGCAGGAGAGGAGCTCATGACAGCCCCTCGCTGGGAGACAGAGACAGCCCACCCTGATTAAGTGGAAAGTGGCAGCTGGGGATAGCAGAGCAAGGAAGAAGGCCCCAGTAGCCTGGAGTCAGGTCCAGAATCCTTGGCAGCCAGAGGCAGACAAGCCCCTCCTTGCACAGACCTGTGGAGCACAGAGCTGGCTCTCTGAGTCAGGAGAGCCAGGCTCAGCCAGATGAGGTTTTGACCTCGTCCTGGATTCCATCCTTAATACAGGAATTATCCTCAAACAAGGATGCCTTGGGCCTGCTGCCCATGCAGTTAACACCTCTGCAATGCCTCTCCTTGACCTCAGTGGAGGCTGCTTCTGCTCCTCCAGCCTTGCAGCAAACGTGCTAGTCTCCAGGGCCCTGCCCAGACCTGACTCTGCCTGCTGGCGGGCACCCCAGCCCAGGGCAGATGGCGGGCTTCCCAGCTGCCAGAAGACATCAGGCCCAGGAGCCCAGGGCCTGCCAGGTCCTGTGAGATGGGGCCCTAGCAGTAAAGCAGGAACCCAGACAGGCATCCCCTTTTCCTGACAGTTTCCTCAGCTCCACACATGTCACAGCACAGCCAGCTCTGCCACTGCACTTCCCCCCATGCAAAAGGCACAAGATATATTTGGTCATTGCAGAAAACCTGCAAATACAGCTAAGCAACAATCCCTTGTTATCCCGCCATCAAGCAATGTCGATGAGGTAGCTGATGAAGGTGATGGCAACCATGATAGTAAAGATGATGATAATGGTGAAGATGATGGAGATGGTGGTGGAGATGACGGTGAGATGGTGGTGATGGTGGTGATGATGAAGGTGATGGTGATGATGAAGGTGATGGTGATGATGGAGGTGGTGGTGATGATGAAGGTGATGGTGATGATGGAGGTGGTGGTGATGATGGAGGTGGTGGTGATGATGGAGGTGGTGG